ATGTTTAAAAAATATCTGATCACCTGTAATACTTTGAAAGGCAAATCTTTCCACTGATGTATTTCAGTTGCTCCATGTAGTCCTATTTTGATTTCATAGAATTTGAGATGCTTCTAGTGGCTAACAGTTCTGGACAGGCCAGTTTAACAGCTTTACTCATTACTAGAATTTGATTTAGCATCGTCTTGCTGGAGTAAGAAAGGTGTCGTCTGGATGGCGGCATATGTTACTTGTAAACCTGCAGATATGGTTCAGCACTGGGGCCATCCAAAGAGTGACTTCCTAAAGGAACCAGAGATGTGTCGGTTTTCTGAGACAAAGTTAAATTGGAAGGATACATTTAAAAGAATTAAATGATCTGAATTAAATTCTTTAATTTTTCTTTTCAGGCGTCTGACTCCACTACACCCACCAAACCAGCCAATCCGAGGGTTTCTCGCTGACTTTATGAGCAACGTGTCAACCAGACTATGAACTCTAATTCTCCGTATTAATTATGTAAATACAGTGTCACAAGCTAAATGTTATGAATGCTGAAAGTGTAAAAACTCATCACCCCTCACCAGTTCCTGAACCCTGTAGAAGACCCTGAAATAAAGTACAGAACAAGGCTCTGCAGATTTATATTTGTTCATCAATTAAAAATGTTCAGTTCATTTTTAGAGAAAGAAACAAATCATTAATTTAACCAAAAGTCTGGTCATGCAGGCTGGAGTGTGGACTTCAATCCATGACTTTGTTGCTAGGGTATCTTGTCTCACCACGTAAGAGTTCTGAATACTAAAGCTCAAAGGTATAAGGAGTGAAAGCTGATATCCAAGAGGTAAATGTTGAATTGAATAATTAATAATAAATAATTACTTGCGTAGCTATTGCTGTGGATATAACTCAGCTGGGAGCGTCTAAAGAGCAGTTCTTGAACTTTTTCTCTCTTGACCAGTTTTTTCCCAATACTGATTGGTAGATTAGGATTCCACTTGCTGTCACATATATATAATCTTTAAAAGTTGTATTATTCATATTAGACATCAGGGTTTAAAATGCTGGGGTAAATGTACTGTGTGCAATCCTTTGAATCAAAATGCTGTCTTCAATTAAAATGTCCATTTCAAAGATTTCTTTTGCTGCTTCCGTGGACCAGAGGTCCACCAATCAGCACTGAGTGAACGTACGCTTTCAGGGGTTAGGATTTTAAGGTTAGCTGTCTGTTAGACTTCACTGCATCTAACTGCAATCCCTGACTGACAGTTTTGCACCACTTTTAGTGAAATTTTCTTACCAACAATACGGCTCCTATGCAATCAATTGACACGATGTCCAAGAAATTTATTCTCCAGGTTTGTGAGTGAAATAGTTTTTTTCTTTTGGATGCTGCTCAACAGAATGTGTCTGTGTGATGCAATTAGAAAATAATTAATATAGTGGTGGCAAAAGCACTAAAATCAAGGCTTCAAAGCTGTAGGTAACATCACCTTGGCTACACCTGTATTTAAATTCTTTATTTTGACTCCAGAGACAGGTCAGGTCATACTTTTCTGTAATACCAATTTGTAACATAGGATGGTGCAGTAACAGTGCACTGAGTGGGGGAAATACTGGTACTACAGTAAGACAAGTACTGCGAGTTAGTGCCACCAGCACAACTCGCAAAAGTAAATAAGAAAATTCTTAAAGTAAAAAGATAAATACTAGAGTAAAAATCAGAGTCGTTTTCTTGACAGTTTGATAGCCCCAAAAAGGACTACTTAAACTGATGTGACAGTTGTTTTTTTATTAAAATCTCAAAACTTTATTCAGTCAGTCATCAACAAATAATTTAATGCAGTTTTTACAAAGCCAGAGACTTTTGATAAACAGGCACGTATAGAAGAAAAACAGAGGCTGGGTGGAAACACTGCACCTCAAACAGACTAGAAACCATCACAGCATTTTTTAAATAAAGACATAATCCTGCAAGAGGAGGCAGCGCTTCACACCCTAATGATGACTACCCCATGGAAACCTAAGGAGGAAATGTAAATTTTAAAAACAAGAATAAACAAAGAATAAAACAAATACATAAAAGGCCTTTAGAGTTTACAAAGTAAGAGTCTAAAGATTCGTCAAAGTGGAGTTCCACTTGCTTAAATCTTGTTTTTACAGACTTTTACCAAACATAGAGTTCCTGGCACGTCATTCACACGGTTTTCTTTAAAGCATCTTTATACCCATCTATCACATTAACTGATATTGAGGATTTGCACGTCTAGAATATTGATGCTCAAATCCAGCCGACTTGTCTTTGAGGTGGCTTCACCCTCGAGCACGTCACTAATACTGGTAACACCCTCTACTTGGCACAACAGGTGGCATTAATCTTTTAGAGTTTGGAGTGTAACAGCTGATTGTTGAAACACAACTTGGAGTGTTTTGCTTGCATAGATTTAGTTAACGTTTAAACGTAAGGCAGCACGGTGACAACTGAATTTAAGCACGAGACTCTTATTTTGAAATGTCCGACAGCGATGCCTTCAACACCCGTTTTTATTTGCTTCACTAGTGTTAGGAAGAAAATAAGGTAAAAAACAGGAAACTCTCAACAATGATAAGTCAAATCTTATGTACACCTGAAATAAGGACACAGTGAAATAATAACATGATGCATTCAAGGTCATCACGTCTTTTCCTCCATTATGAATATGATGATGAGGTTGGCTAATCTTCTCCTGCTCACACAGACACACCAGCAGCCTTTTATGCACACGCTCTGTACGTTTAGGGGTCGACAAAGGACACCATGATGTATCTGGTCCCTTTGGTGACGCGCAGGCCTTCGTGGTAGTGCGTCAGTCGACCTGGGTGCATGAAGGACCAGCCCTTCCTAGGAGACTCCACCTTACAGTCGTACCGCAGGAACCTGCAACCTCCACCCTGACACAAGTAAACATGTCGCATTAAGAAAGGCAGAGCTTCAGGGAAATTATTCAGGATAGTTCTTTGGCTTCTTGTTTATTCATCTTTAGACCAGCAGGCTGTGTTACCTCGTAGTCAATGTCCTTCCTGTTCAAGGC